CTGCCGCTGCCTCCTCGTTGGGTTCTTGCTGCACCGTCGTGGCGGATTGTCTCTGTTGCCGTAGTCGCTCCCACGGTCGCAGCAGTGGTCATCCGTGGCTTGGTAAGTGAAATTTTTTTGGATCTTGTCTTGGTCTTCTCTTTGGATCCAGAGACATTGAAAACACCATTTTCAAATAAAACCCTCCACTGTCAATCTCTTTCTTGATCTTCTAACATGCACATTTTTGTTGTTCAATTTTTCAGTTATGGACTCGTGAACCACAAAGGACCGAACACAGATTCTCGTACAGATTCATCATCCAGCTTTAACCCTGTTATGAATTGAACGAAATCGTGGGTTTTTGGTCTCTTTGCAGATAAATCAAGTTTACAAAAATAATGAGGGTTCTGTTTATGTTTGTGTGATTGGTTTCGAAACGGTGGAAGAGTGTAGCAGGATTAATTAAAAAAACAAAACCTTACGACATCGGTTACAATGAACCGAGGCGTAATCGTATCCTTTACATCGCGGTTCATAACCGAGGCATAAAATGTACACCTTTTTACTTCGTTTAAATATGTCTCGATTGTAAAACCGCTGCCTATAAAAAAAAACTATTTACTCTTGTTGCACTAGTGATTATTCTTTGTCAAATCATTACACTATATTAAATTATATCAATGTCAAGTCATCTACACTATATTAAACTATATGTGTACACGTATTGATTTTTCAAATTATATTTCATGTTATTCTACTCCGTGATAGTTGAAGTCTTTTTCTATTGTGATTAATATAATCAGCAAAGTCTTTCTTATATACATATTTTAATTATATTTATATATATAATGTCATATTAGTCAAAGCTTCCTGCTATGTGCATTGCACCTTGTATTCATTTACCTTAGAATATTTATATTTATGATATTAGACGTAATAGAAATTATATATATATGTAAGAGACTGATTTGTTTTTTTTTTCTTTTTTTCACATTATGTGAGTAGTTAATCTATACAGTCACTTGTTTATATCAAATTGCAAACATGCCACTTCAACCTCCGTTTTCTATACTTTAAATACATATTTCGCTCCGACTTGGATCAAATTCACTAAATATATATCTTTAAATTTTTCATCACTAATATATCTCACAAATACAATATCAAAATTTATCAATATACTTAATATGTTGATTAATTTGTTTTGGTTAACTAAGAAGGTCAAACCAAATTTATTAAAAGGTTTAAATGAAAGAAAGACTATTATAATTTTTAGTATATAATATAGTGCTTTTAGTACACGTATTTTATTTTTAAATAAGGGGATGAAGTTTTATATTTAAAATGGTCAGTCAACAAATATCATATTTTTTAATTGTTTAGATATATAAGTATATAAATGAGAAAATGATAATAAAAGAACGACCATGGTAGAGTTTCATATATTTAAATAAATGGATGTCAGAGACGAATAAATCAACCGACATATACACTTGTGCTTACATTTTTTCAATTTAAAATTTATTATAATAACTATTGCAAAATGTGAATTTTGTAAGTTTTTTTTATGGGATATCCGAATCCTAAAAAGCAAAATTCATTTACCTTGGACATTGAATTCACGTAAACAAATATACAAGTTGAGTTTTTCTTATGAGATAAACATTGACGTATGAGTTTAACTAAGGTATTGTATTTTAATCCTAATTTTTACCACGGATGTAGTTTAATTAGACATAAATTTACGTTTGGTCTGGTATTTATTGACGTAAATTTATGTTGAATATTGTATTAATCAACGTAAACTTTAAAATAAAATAAAAACCGTTCATTTTGACTTAAATCCAAAATCTATGATTAAAAAAATGAAAAAGCTATACCAATACAGATATTCTATTTATATTAAAATAATAATTATTATTTAATTTAGATGACTTAAACTATAATAAATCTAACTATCCCTATTTATGCAAAAAAAAAAAATTACCAACATTATATATCATCTTCTATAAATATCATTCGTTCCTTTTTCAAAACCTTTTTTTTATTAATATAGTTTAAATATCTAATATTTGATCGTGTTATAACTATTAATAATACAAAAGAAAAATATGTGATAACATATATTTTTTAAGTTTCTAATACATTTATTTCAAACCAAAAACACGACGAAGAATTTGAAAAAGATTTATAAAAAAAAACAATACTAATGAAATATGAATTTTATCTAATTAAGAAATTGACATTTCTAACAAAAAAACATAAGACAATATATTTATGACCTTATATATTGTTCAATATATATTTTTATCTCTACTTAACGTTGGATTTAGATTCATTTAAATTTTTCAATAAAACACATGAACAATGAAATGTCATCGTGATAGGTTATTCATTTTACCAAACACATTGCAAGTACTCGTCAATTCCTTTTCCATTATTCCTAACGTGATGTGCATTCATTCAACTTTGATTTATAACTATATATGTTACAGACTCCATTGTCATATATAGATAATACAATACAATTCTCATTTTTCTAGTTCAGATTAAGTTCCAGCTCATTTAAGTTAACATTTATCTTAATTTATTAACACATGCAAATTAAATCTATTATTTTAAATTTGATAAAATTTGACATTGTTGTCTAAAAGTTGTGATAGGTATGTATAGAATAACATTAAATGATTTTTGAATTGAAATTACTCAAATTTTAAGGTTAAACTTAATATGTATACATTAGCAAATTATGAAAAAGTTTTTTTTTTTTCAAAAATGTTTAACCAGACAATTTAAGACTTAGCATTAAATGAATAATGTTTAATCATTTTTACTAAATCTCAAATTAAAACTAAGATTTGCTAACATCAATACAATATTTATTTAAATAAAATTAGCAAAATAAATACAAACCAATAATTAACTAACTTTTATATTTAACTAGTCCTTCTTTTCTTATCTTCTCTACATATTTTGTTACCTTTTGTTTTTCAAATATCTCTTTTAATATCCTTCATTCATTAGAAATTTAAAATATTTATATTTAGCCTCATCATCTTGTTTACTTTCTTTATCTCGATTACTTTCTTTATCTGTTAGAAATATAAGGTTTGATAATTAATTAGAAATAATATTAAAACAATAAATATTTTTTAATAAAAAACTTGTTAGATTATCAAAATGTTATATTTTTTTTAATGATGTTATTGTCATTACCTACGACAAATAAGGAATGGTCATTATCAATGTCATTGGTGTAGATGATAATGATGATATGTCATTCTTCTTAACATTTTCCACATCTCTATTTATAATAATAAAATGATAGTTAACCTTACCACAAATTATATAAGTGATTAAAGATGACAAAAAAAAAATGTTGTGGGTATCTGTGGACAAAATTTGCAGAGGAGATAATTGGACAAAATTTTGAGTACTCAATATAAAAACTAACGAAGACTTAATTAAAAATATCCAATTTTAATAAAAAGTTTAAAATTTAATTAAGTTTATTATTTATGTATTAGTTTCTCATATCAATTCCTTCGATTTTCTTTTCTACATGTTTTTGGGTTATTCCATGTTGACGCTACATTACTTTGAGAAGAAACAGGTTTTTAATATATTAAGCATAATAAATGGATGTTTCTTCATATATGTTCTTAACATCCTATGGATTTCGTGATCCACTCAGATAATATTTTTAAGTAGACATAATATTTTATTATGTTAATTGATGTAATAGTTAAAGAATATTTTAATATGAATAAAAATTATTTACAAGTTTCAATATTTTAAAATTTATTATTAAACTAATAAAATTAGTAGTGTGATATAGAAATATCAGAAAACTAAGTATTACATATTATTTATATTTAAAGTAATAAAAAGGTAAACCAGTTCAACCAAATAACTGGAATCGAAAATAGAAATTTTTATCTAAATTAATTTATAACATATCCAGTATAAATATA